TGTCCATTGGAAAGAGAGCTACAGTGCACACACGCGAAAGGTTTTGCTTTGCTAGGCATATGCATTGGGTGTACTAGAGGTGGATGCAGAGCCTGCGACGTGCATGTGGTCACTGCTGTTATTATATGTACAAAGATATTAGTATTAATCCTGTGGGAAGTTTGAAGCCTCCCTCTGTCGCTCCTCCTGCTGCCAGTGCTTTCCTCCTCCTGACTGCCAACGTTGGGTGGCTGAAGCTACTGATGCAAATTTGGATAGATGCAGGCTGCAGTAGCCACAGGGGAGAACCCAGAAGCACTGATATGTTCTCTGTATGGACCAGAAATAGTATTTAATTCCCCAGATTCCCTTGTGAATCTGGTCCGTTGGGAACACTAAGGACAGTTCAGTTCTCCAGTTCAGAGGAGCAATCAGATACCAACAAACTACTTGATTCTTTTAAGAGCTGAAAAGAGATCAATAATGAAAATATTAAGGATCCTTTCACCTTGAATACTTAGGGTTTTGTTCAAAAGGGCAGTATAGATACACAAAGCATCCAGTGAGAGACAGAGCAAGTTATAAAAGGTGTGGCAGATCTTCCATATGAGGGGAGGTTAAATTGATTAAGAGACAAATGAGAGGTGATATGTTAGTGGTATATAGGAGAGTGAATTGCCAGAAGAGGTCAGTCAGACAATCCTATTTAGCCTTTCCCATAAATCAAGAGCAAGTAGAGTGCTATACAATAATACTAAAAGCTAATGAATTTAAAAGTGATACAAGTAAAATATTTTCTTACATGGTGTGTAATTAACCTAGGAAATTCATCAGATACCATTAAGACAAAGAGCCTAGCAGGACTAAAAATTGATAATAAGTGACAGAAACTACATAAAGATAGAAATGTATACAAAATGTTCAGCTGAGCAATGGACTGCTCAAAATGCTTTCACAATATGGTTACTCTCACTTTCCAGGGCAGAAGGCACACCTCCACATACCCAAAAATGCAACCAGAAAACATTCAAAAAACTTCTGAGCAGCTTCTCTGAAAGCTTCTGAGCTTCAAGATAATATAGAACTCATCAGCCGGGAGATAGTTGCCCCTTTTGTCTCCCAGACACACAGCCAAGAAACTTATGGATAGGACCTGAGCATAGGAACTGTATTTTGATGCAGGCAGAGGAGAATCATGTGAAATTTATAAGTCTGCCTTTTATTAACTGAAATGTGCTCTGAAATGGCTCTAAAATGGTGGTGTTTTGTGGGTAGTTAATTGGCATGCATTCTGAACTTGCAGTGTTTTATGGTCCCTCTTAAACTTATTAAACAAAGCTGTCAGCTTCTACTGAAGGTGTAAGATATCCCCCTAGGTTTTACAGTGTGTGCAAAGATTTTTGAGGTGCACAGACAAGCTGCTTTGTCCTGTGATGGTGGGTTCCCTGCACTTCTGAAGTATTTCTGAGGGTTTAAGAGTAAACTTGAGAAAGCCAGAAAACCTCACCACATTTAAGAGTTTGGAGGGCAAGTTTCTACTTGTTTCTCTTTCCCCTGAGGTTACCTTGACCTTGGGTTGTAGGGATGAGCAGGGCTGAATGTCGGCAACCCAAATACTGGATTATATGGGTGAATTCAGAGGAAGCAAGGGTGTAGAATATAGAGTTTCTATTAAACAAACAAAAAAAAAAAAAAACAAAAAAAAAAACAACAACAAAAAAAAAGACAATAGGGCTGAATAAAATGACCACAGAAATACAGTGTTCTCTTCTTGACAGGGCTGGCTCTGTGCCTCAGTTTCTCACACCACCGATGTGCAGTGGTATTGCGTCCCCAGTTCCTATGTCTTGAGTTTTGAGCGAAGGTCTTTCTAACTTCAGTCTATGTTTTGTACAAAAATCTGAAGTGAGTGCTCATGTTTTGTAATCCAGCATGCCAACAGATCTTTGTAACAAGGATCTATAAGGAAAAAATGGGCATTTATTCTCATAGTATTTCAGGTATGTTTGGAAGCATGCAATTACTGAGTGTAAAAATAGCATGCAGTACATAAGTAATGGTAGAGTATATTCATTTGCTGTGATAACACATGGTGAATTGGCACACGGATGAGATTGCTGCTTTACTAGCATCCTGCAAGCATTCCCTTGGTGAAGCCTACTGACCAAAGCAAGGGCTGTAACACTTGAGCATCCAAGGTTTTGGGTAATGCCTGACCGCATCAGGACACTTGCTGGAGATTTTTCTTATGTGTGTGCCCTTGGTCCTTAGGGAAGGGTTGTGGTTTTTAATCCAAAGTGAGTGCTAGGGAAGGTTCCTGTGTTCTGCAAAACAAGCATTGCCCCAGGCCTCATTTATGCGTCCTACAAAAATCAGGACTTGCGATTGAGAGAGACCTGCCTCTGTGATTATGCTGTTTCCTTATGCTCCATGTTTCCTTTTCGAAGCAGGAGTGCAATGCTGGGGAACCTGCTGTGCTGTGATAATATGTGCATTCCCCGAGGCTTGTCTTTCAGCCTCTTCCGAGAATTAGCCATGTAAAATCTATACACTGCCTGATTACAGTGGTGATTGTGGTCCCAACTTACTTTCCAGCTTTCTTCCAAGCTCTACCCATGGTCTAGATGCTGTGTAGTAATTGATTAGCCGAACTTCTTGAGTGCCTTGGGCTGAATGGCAGTCTTTGGCTCTGTTGCAACATGGTGTGCTTACAAAAACAGGCTGAGTGTTACCTGTACTGCAGCTGTCCTAGCAGAGAATTAAATAACTATGAAAATGCATGCTGCTCTTGATCTTTATATATATATATGTGTGTAAATATGTAAGTAAATAAAAAGAGGGATGAAAATTTCTTCAGGGCAGTTTACATGTCCTTTTTTAGCTGTAGCTCAGCAAGTCAGTCTTTCTCCTGCTTTGCTTAGAGGTTCTATTTTTCAGTTTAATTTCTTGAGTTAAAAACTGACATTTTTTCTTGTAGAAATTTAAGATTTCATTTTTTTTTTTTAATTATTTTTATTTTAATGTGAAATCTTTCTAGCTGGAAATGCCCTTTTCAGTTTCATTATAGGTCTCTTTCTGATGTCTTCTTTTACTATAGTAATCCCAGTTACTAAGACAGCTGTCTTTTCACATGAGTTTGAGTAGAAGATACTCTGTATAGAAGATATAGATAAACTGATTCTTGGATGTATTTGTCTCTACTGCACTCTCAGCCTTCATTTTTCTGATCATTTACCATTAATAGCGATAGCTCCTTGCCTAAAGTTTTCTGTGGTCTTTCTCAAACTGAAGCTTGCTCCTTAAAAATAAGTCTTCTGCAAGGCTAGTGTTGACTCACTAAAAAAATATGAAAGTTTGAGCAAAATTTCTACCAAGACATAATGAATATTCTTGTAAGTAACAACTAGAGGAACAATGTGGTGGTGATACAGGCCCAGTGAATTGCTCCTGCTGGATGGAGGCCAAACTTAGACACTTTTGGGATTTAGAAATGTATGCGTCCAGCAACAAAAGAGATTCTGTTGGAGCCCTGGACTGAAAGGTTGGTTAACAAAGGGCAAACTACCTGAGCAGGAGGACAAGGAAACCCCACTGCAGTTAAAGCTTGCAAATAATTTTTTTTTTTTTTTTTTTTTACTATCTTTTGTCTGGCTGCTTTCTGCCTTGAGGGGCTGATGGCAGAAGTTGTGGGGCTGGCTCTTTGACTAACAGTTGAGTCAGTATTTTTTCCCACTGAATTATGTAGGTATTAAAGGAGACAGGGAGAAGACTGGTCTCTTGGGGAAGGGAACAGCTTAGTAGCAAGGCGTGGTTATTCCTTTCTGTTGTCAGGAAGAGAAAGGATAGACATCTGCTATATGCCCTGGATGTATACACTCCTCTGATGAGAGCCACTTGTGTCCTCACAGAGTTGGCTACCCATGTATCAGGCTTCTATCTTTAACAAAGCATTTAGTAGAGAAGTCAGCACATTTGTACAGACCTCATGTAAGGAACCCTTCAAAACTGAAGAAAGGCTTATGTGTCCAAAAGTTTGCTTGATTTTTTTTCTTTTCCCCCAACCGAACAAGTTGATCTTAAGAAAGATACGGGTTCATTTAATAAGCCTTGTCTGGCTTATAAAAACAAGAAAAGAAGAGTCTCCATGCTCCAAAGAAAGCTTAAAAGAAGATTAATTAATTAATTAAGAATCTTTTCTTCTGAGTGCAACAGGATCCAAATAACAAGTGAACTTTTCATTTCCAGTAATAGCAGAAATTACTTCAATAGCATGATTGTGAGCACCCGTGGGGCCATAATGTGAATGGTCTTTATTAAGGAATAGACTGAACTTCTGACTATCTTTCTTCCAGTCATTTCCACAGACTATAAACAGCGCCTGGTTTGTTGCTATTAAAAGAGTCTAAAGACGATGATGCTGAAAAGCATTACTGTTTAAGTGCTCATGGCTTGACATTAACATGAAAAATATTTTCTTGAAAGTAAAGTGAATTTGGGTTCTCCACAACATTATAGTTTTCTTCAGAAATGATTGTGTTGAATACCTGTAAAATGGGGGGAGACGTTTTCTTGGATTCGTGCTTTAATTTTAATTACTGGCCACTGCCCCTCTGTTTCGCTTGATTTTTCAGACATGTATGAAGTCACAAAACATCTTAGGGTCAATTTTTGTTTTCTTGGTGTTATTTTCGGCCTGTGTTGGTACCTGATGAAAGAGCCTGGTCTTATTTAACGATCAGGCTTCACTATATGTTTGTTCCCATAAATGACTCTTCTGAAGGAGCAACCTTTCCTGAATAACATGGTATTTTGGAAAATGATGCTAAGTAAAAACTGAAGTAATCCATGATCTGCTGAGGTGATACTGAAGACATATCTCATCCACAGCAGACCTGTGCATTAATCCTATGTTTTGGGGTCTTTACTTGCTTTAAATATTTGCTTCTAGATCTGTGTTTCACACATCTTATTTACATGGTTTATTTTTCATTTTATGAACGAATCGATAACCAGACAGACTCTTTACCACACTGGATTAGTTTTATTTATTCTCTTTGAACTTGATTAAAAAGCTGTCAAACATAAGTCTACATTTTATCAGCAGAATACTTTTACAAAACGGTAGGAGATGTGTATAGCTGGAAACATACATTTCAAAATGAAACAATATTTGATATATTCTAGACAGTTACCCTTTTGTTTATCCATGACAACTGAAACTAACCATCAAATGCATAAATTGATTCAAGTCTAGCCAAGTAATCCTAAGGGCATATGAAAAGGCTTTTTTTTAAAGTTCTTTCTAGATGAATTTAATGTAGTTCACCAATAAAGCATCCTCAGGAGCACAATACAAATGCTACAGAACATGAGATAGCTGGGGAAAGCGGGCAGATGTACAGTGTGATGAAGAATCAAAATGGATGTTACATTAAAATGAACAGTCATGCAATGTCTTCGTTTCATGTACTGCATTTCAGTAAAAATGCCAAAATTCCAACTTAATTTTTAATTTTTTTTTAGACACTGTTATGCAAATACTGACATTTTGTTTGCTGTTTTTTTTTGTTTGTTTGTTTTGTTTTGTTTTGTTTTTGTATTTTTTTTTGTTTTTGTTTTGTTTTTTTTTTGTTTGTTTTTTTAATTATTATTTTATATTTGTTTAAAAGTATGAAATGTAATCTTTTTTTGAACTTTTGAGGCAGGCAAATTAATTATTCGTCATGTCTTTAACTTTAAATATATATCAAAGAGAAAGGTAAATTGTAATCATATTAGCTACAAATAACTGGTATCACTGTTTAATTCACTGCTTTTAATATACATATTTTAATCAGTTTTCTACAAATCTCCTCAATTATTATTTGTCTTTCTGTGCCATTGCATATGTTGGTAAACAGCATTTTCTATGGTCTTTGGCCATATGCTGCATGCTCAGCTTGCAAAAAAAGTGACACTTGGAGTGCTAGCATAATGAAACTCTCAAAGGGTTAATGCAGAATACATATAGGCAAATGTTGACAATATTTTTTATTCCAATGTTTGAAAATTAAACACAAAATCATCATTAAGTTTTCACAAAATGAGGCATCTGTCACTTGAAAGAAAAAGAAATATTTCAGAAATATGTTTACAGAAATGTAAAAATATTAGACATCAAGACAGATGTGAACATTTTCAATAACAGGCCCTGTCTGTCAGTCTTCCTCAGAGCCGAAGATCTTGCTGTACTCACTCAACATAAGTTCAACTATCTGATTTTGGTACAGCATGTGGACTGCCATGTTCCCTGTCTCCTTTTCAGGTCTAAGGAGTGTTGGTCCAAACACAATTCCTAAGCTTTGTGTTGACATAAGATTCACGGATTCCTTGGCTGCTATCCTGTTGACGAAAGGAAAGAATTGGTTAAAAAAGAGGGATGTCAAGGGAGTTGCTGTTGCATATGAAGTACATAGAGGCACTTTTTTACTGATTCTCCTAACAGGGATGTTTGTCTGGTTAGATTATCAAAAAGAAAGAAAAGAGGGAGGGAAGAGACAACTTCTACCAACCTGACAAACAAGGAAAGGGGAGTCAGCCCCAGACAGCAAGAGGTGCATGGGGTGGAGGTGTAGAGCTCCATACACAGTACTCTTACATCAGGGCACAATTTGCTGCTTTCTGGTGAGCAAATGTTAATGTGTGCGCCTTATAAGGCAATAATAAACTCATACATTTAGATATGGAAAATAGGGATTGATGTTTACACTAAGGGAATCGAGCACTTTTGATGTCAACAGTTTTGGTGGCTCCAGGGAGAAGCTTCCCTGCTTCTCTTAACATGGTCTCCAGCACTGAAAGAGTTGGGAAAACAAAAAAAAGCCCCTTAACATAGAGCTCATGTGAAACACATTCCTTCTGCTAATTTAAATCCAATCAGGTTAGTATGGTCTGAAATGGATTGTGAAATTTATATAACTAAAGACTTTTGCATGCCTTATCCTGACACAAAGTTTCTTGAAAGACGCTGAGACCACGTACCTTAATGAGATGACTTAGAAAATAATGGTAAGGATTATAACCTTTGATATCTTTATTACCCACAAAATTACAAGAGGAGAACTATTATTATTAAAAGTTGATCTTATGTCTGTATTAAGACTTAATATTCTTGTGGAAATTACATTAAGGATGGAGAAGTCTAGTCTAAGAACTGTATAGGTTTAATAGATGGAGTTTAGGTAGGGAGTTTCGCATAAATCTCTGCAGTAGTGAGTACGAACTAAGTAGAAATCCATTTCCCTCAACCCTCCAGAACACATAATATATCCTAGGTTGGAAAGACTAGTAAATGAAGATTCATATTTTATAAATGAATTGCATAGCTCTACCAAGGAATGCGAACTAAATGCAACTTTAACATGTATATGTTTGAATTTATGGATTCTTGCTTAATCTGTTAGTTTTAACTTAAATATTCCAAGTGGACTGTTGAAGCCAAGTTCTGCTTTCCCCCCCCTCTTTCTCATTGTCGTTCATTTACCTTTTTAAAATCCAGACAGCAATTTAAAAATCATCATAGCTCTCTCTGTTTTTCCATACCTGTTGCTGAATTTACAGCAAGCTACACTATAAGTGAAAGAAATGTCATAAGATATAGTGGATTCAGTCACTTAAAAAAAGGTTTCTTTCATGTTAGTGGGTGGGTCACACTGCAAAGAGCATCATATTGTAGATTTCTGACAATCATGTAGTTTACCACATTGCTTGAACATGAACGTTTATGTTTTTTTTTTCCCATATAAAAATAGGAAGCATTACTTAGTTCTGCCTCATGCTTGTAACTGTGGTGTCCATTACACAAAATACCCTCCATATGGCACTAATCAGATTGGCTTAACTATTAGTTTCTTAAAATACAACATCTTTATTATAAATGAAAAACAAATCATTATCTTTCCTCTGTGATAATATTAATATATCATCTCTTCTCTTAGTAGTTCATAAAGTCTCAAAAATTAAGTTTTGTTGCCAAATAACTGTGTGGGCTTCTGATGGACATCACACATCTTTATCGCAATTAAAAATGTTTATTACAGGGGTGACGAGGTTGTTTTGCTTAATGCCACTTATACAGAAGGATATACACCAAGCTTAGGGCCTCCCTGTGAGAAAGGCTTGATTTCTGTTTAGCTTGTTACACTCTAGACATTAGAAACCTTGTTAAAGTATCTGCAGATGACATCAGCATGGGTAGAGATGCTGGTGTTCGCCAGGGGGGAAAAAAACATATTCAGCAGTTGTATCTTGTGTAACTTTAGAGATCACCAATTTGGCATCAGCCATGGCTTTGCAGTGAGGTGGTATTGATAATGGACAGCACGAATGAAGCTGGAGGAGAAACACCTTGCTGGGAGGAGGCAGCAGTGCACCATGGATGAGTAGTCAGGGTGAAGAATGGTGGTGGCAGAGCTCAATTTACTGAAGGAAGAGGAGGGTATTGGCTTCCTTTATCTGTAAAATTTGGAGCAAGATGTTGAGATCTTATGTTTCTGATGTGGACACAGAAAATAGAAGAAGGGTTGTCAACCTCTCTGTCCTTGTTTACCATATTAATGTAACAGAATAATTGCCCTTGTTTCTCCTGGAGATGCCATCCTGCATGCGAAGTCATGTTTGAGTCCAGGCATTGCCAGCACATGGTCTGCAGACGCTCAGCTCTCAGGAGGTGAGGGTACAACATGAAGCAAGGGTGTATGTGGTGTCCATTGGTGATGGAGAGGAACCGGCCATCTGTTGTGGTTCACTGATATGGAACATGGCAGTAAGAGCATCTGCATATATTTGGGGCCCCTAAGCTTAACGCTAGGAGAATAATTCTTTTATTGATAAAATGTCTTGAAAATTCTTGATATTTTCTATGTATACATGCAGTCGTGCTTGTTTTGATGACCGTAAAAACAAAACAAAACAAAACAAACACAATAGAACTGAAATATAGAGTCTTAGTAATTAAATAATCTGTGGTAAAATACAACTACTGGAGGGAAAGAAGAATGGAATTCAATCCAGCCTGAATAAAATAATTGTAAGTTTAGGACCTTATGCCTTTTTAAATTACAAATATTTACCAGTGAAATTCTATAACTAATGATCTGTCCACAAAAGAAAAAGTCAAAGCAAACCAAAACCAAATATGCACACTTAAAGCTATTACTGTAGCTGCTAAGTGAAATTGAGTTGTTAAAAGAGAAAATTCCTAAAAAATGGGCAAGAATTCTTTTTTTTGGCAAGAAAAAGAGCAGAAAGAGTGATGTACCATTTATAACATAAAAAGTGAAAGGAAATGCCAGAGATATTTTTGTCAAGCCCAAATGAAAGGAGCAATGATCCATCAATTTAAGATTATTTTAGAAACAGTCTGTAATCTGGTGCCACAGATGTTGGAACCATATCAAGAAATTGTTGGGCGTTATGCTGTGCTAGATTTTTTTTTTTTTTCCCCAAAATAAATGAACTTCAAGAATGGCTTCAGTCCTTTAAGATCACAAGTCAGGAGATATGCAGAAAATACAGTTCTCATTATTAATAGTAATGAAATTAATGATGTATTAAACCAGCAGAAGTGTCTGATAGGAGGGCTCTAGTGTCAGTGGCAGATATATAAGCAAAAATACTTGGAATTTATGCTTTGGCTGTTGCCAAGGCAACTGTAAGCTGGAAAGCGTGTGACTGAGAGCAGGGCAACTCTACAGCTAAGAGGGTCATAGTATGGTGAGTTTGGCTCTCTAGTTCCATTAAACCTACACTTTTCAAGCTCCCTAAATAAAATCATTATTAATTTTGACATTTAGAAAGCACACAGGATTATTACTTCAAACACACTAGGTGTTAGGAAACGTTCTTCATCCATTTTTACTCTATAGTAACTGCTGAGGAGGGGAAAGTGTCTCAACAGTGCTCTGATTCCTCAATATTTTATTGTTCCTACTGTACATAAAAAATTAGAGAGACAAGCCAATGTACTTAGGGAGGAAAACCCCATTGGAAAGGGCATTGTTTTACTGTAAACTGGAGAGCGTTTGTGAGTAGAGTTGTCCTCTCTAAGCTGCATTGAGAACTGCTCAGTCTTGCTTTCTTAGCTTTTTCCAGCCTACGAGGACTTAAGTTTGCTCAATGTCAGAGGTATTTCTACCCTTAGCAGAACTGGTTTTAGCCATACCTAGTACTCTTTTTCTGTTTTAAATTGTATCTAAGGGAAGCTTTTCAACAGGACAGTCCTGCTGCTCTTCCATGAACTGGTAATGACTATGACTAAAGGGCAACACATTATGAAATGAGGGGATCAGATGAGTAAGAACAGGTCAGCTGTTAAAATATTATGGGCAATTATGGCAGGTGTGAGAAATGCCATCCTCTGAATTCAGTAGAGGACTGAGGGATAAAAGTAGGTTTTGGTCTTATCAGAATGCTGTCTGCCAGCATTATTCACAATAATTTATCTAGGGAAGTCACTGCCATGAGAGACAGGAACCAAGATCTAAACAGAGGCCAAAAAAGATTAAAGATGTCCAGGAATAAAGGAAACTCCCCAGAAAGGAGAAAAGATGAAGTATTCATGACATCTGTCTTCTTGTTATAATACCTAACCTTACAGAATTAGGAAGCAACTCCCCTCTAAGTGGATTATTCCCTGACAGCACATTTGGGTGGGTTTTTTATCTTTGCTAAACTGTGCTAGAGACCACTATCGTGGCCAGAGCAGCTCATCCTGATGGACAACAGGGCTGATTTGTATGTAAATTCCTATGAACTGCCTTAATGGGTCAAAGTCTGCACACCCCATTGATTCACTTTACTAATAATTATCCTCAAATTAGCTAATATCTGTTTCCTATATATACTCAAGCATATACAAATGTAATGTTTTAGCTTAAGGACTCAGCCCTGGGAATGGCTCAGCTGCCTTCAATACACCTCAATTATAATGCTGTTAACAGGCCTTCACTACACTGTTATGGGCCAGTTTTTCTGCAGCATTTTTCTGACTTTTGCCATTGCAGAACTCCAATCAATTTGAATGTGTTAAAATTTGACTCCTATGATGAACAGTTCCTAACTCAACATTTTATGTTCCTCTCCTTCCCAAATGCTGGTTCACAGGAGTTAAAAAAAATAACAGGTATTACATACTTTGCTTTAGTGACAAGACATTTGGGAAGGAATCATCCAACCTTGAAATAAAATCTTTATTGAAAGCAATTCTACATCCATGCCAGTCAGATACAATGTATGATCAGAAGAGGTGTCCCAGGGGAAAGCTCAACGCTGTAGACAGGGTTGATTACTTGGACCTCCTGTCAGTTCTTAACTCATTGACAATGGCTGAGACATTCAGTACA